ATCGGGGCAGCTACATTAGCTAAACTCCCGTCATTCTGGAAAGAAAATCCTGTCTTGTGGTTCGCACAGGTCGAAGCTGCGTTTATACTCTCCAAAATCACAAACGACGACGCAAAGTTCAGGTACGTTGTACTTAACTTGGTTAATGCAACGTTACCTTTTGTCTCTGATTTAATCGCAAATCCTCCGCCTACCGAGAAATATCAAGCTATTAAAGATCGAATCATACGTTCATTCGATGAAACCGCTGAATCCAAGCTTCGAAAACTTTTGTGCGGACACGAGATCGGGGACGACAAGCCATCTCACTTTCTGCAACGGCTCAAGAACTTAGCAGGCGGACAATGCAATGATTCTATTTTACGTACCTTGTTTCTTGAACAGTTACCTGAAAATATAAGGGCAGTCTTAAGCCATTAGTGAGGTTGCAGATTTGACCATACTCGCATCGCAAGCCGATAAAATCCATGAAATCTCAAAACCATCAATTAACGCCCTAACCTCTGCACAGCCTTCTTTAAATATCACTAACATTATTGATGATTTGACTAAGCGTATAGATGCTTTGACAAAAGAGGTACAACGTTCACGAAGATCTCGTTCCAGAACAGCACGCAGTCCACGCGGAAAATTTAGACCAAAATCAGGAGGTTGCAGCCAGGAAAGAAATCTGTTGGTATCACTGTCAGTTTGGCAATCAAGCGAAGAAATGTTTAGACCCCTGCAATTATCAATCTGACACAGATTCGGAAAACTAGCCAAACGACCGCATATCCAGGCGTTAGCGGATGGTATTAAATAAAGTCGCCTATTTCTTCATGATCGTAAGTCTAATTTAATTGATACCGGGGCTAATATATCAGTTTTGCCAAAACGTAAAGTCAGAGTAACACAGTCATGCGATGAATTCAAATTATTCGCGGCAAACGGTTCAGAAATTAAAACTTACGGACCTAAAGTAGCACAAGTAGACTTGGGACTCAGGCGATCATTCCCCTGGAAGTTTATTGTTGCTGATGTAACTCACGCAATCCTTGGCGCAGATTTCCTTCGTCACTACGGACTTTTAGTCGATCTCGCAAATAAACGTCTCATTGATGATACGGCCAAGCTACAAATTCCCGGTCGAGTGCTCAAATCCTTCACACTTTCATTAACTGCTATTGATAGTAAGTGCAAATATTATCAACTTTTTAAGGAATACATAGAAATTACTAAAGTATCTCCGCGAAAAGTAGATATTCATCAGATTGAGCATCACATCACTACCCGCGGACCTCCAATTGCGGAACGAGCAAGACGACTTCCTCCGGAAAAATTTAAGATCGCTAAAGCTGAGTTCGATATGATGTTGCGAGAAGGTTTGTGTCAACCGTCATCTAGACCATGGGCATCCCCGCTCCATATGGTGCCTAAAAAGAGTGGTGAGTGGAGATTATGCGGCGATTATCGCCGGCTAAATGCTGTTAAATCCCAGACAAATATCCACTATGTTACATTCATGACTTTTCATATGCCCTAGAAGGATGTACTGTATTTTCCAAGATCGATCTCATCCGTGCATTTCACCAAGTGCCTCTTGCAGCTGAAGATAGGCCTAAAACCGCTGTCGTTGCTCTTTTCGGCCTTTTTGAGTTCAACGTAATGACCTTTAAACTTCGAAATGCAGCCCAAATGTTTCAAAGGCTAATTGACACCGCTCTTCGAGGACTAAATTTTTGTCATCCTTACATCGACGACATTCTTATCGCCTCGCCTGATCATCAAACACACGAAGTTCATTTGAGAGCAGTTTTTGACAGATTACGCAAATATGGTCTGTCAATCAATTTTTCAAAATGCGTTTTTGGCGTAGAAGAGATCGATTATCTGGGTTACA